TCTTGATTATCACTATAATAAATTATTTAATATATATAATAAATAATTAGCATTATGATAATATTATTCAATTAGATTAATTAGAATAGTTTAGATAATCATATAATAGTAAGTTAAAAAAATTTTTTTATTTTTTTTAAAGTTAAATAAATTAATGATTTGCAAAATTTTATTTTTATTATTTTTTTATTTTTATTATTTTTTATTTTTTTAAAACTAGAATTAACTAATAAATCTATTTTCTTCTTCTTGAAATGGATGGATTTTTTTTAAGAATATTTACTAATATTATTTTTATTTTAAGACTGATCTCCTTTTTTAAGTCTTGGAAACTAATCAATAAATTAAATTTTATTTTTATAAAATGAATCACTTTTCTGATAATATTTACTAATATTCTTTTTTATTTTCTTTTATAAGACTGATTCTTTTTAAAGTAATCTTATTTTTCAAAATCTTTATTATATCAAATAAATTTATTAAAAAATATCATTTTATATAAATTATTTATAAAATTTTCTTTATATATTATTATATAACTTTTAATTAGTAAAATTCAGTATAATAAAATTTTTTATTTAACAAATTAAATATAGAATTAATAATGATAAATATATAATAATAAAATTATATATTCTTTAATTAATTTTATTTATCTATTTAAATATAGAGGGTGAATAAAAGTTTTCAAACATCTTTATAAATGCGATTTAACAAATTTTATTATATAATTGTAATATTATACTGTGGTTATATGACTATCTATTATTTATTTACATAATCAAAATAAAAAATTTGTGTAGTTTTTATTGTTTTAATTTAATTTACAAAATCTTTACCAAATCAAAAAATAATAAAACAAAATAAAGAATTAATTAAAGAACAACACAGATTTATATTTTACTTGATTAATCCAATATCCTAATCTTAACCCAATTAAAAATTTATGGGCTGATATTAAAAAAAATATTCGTATATATAAAAAACTACCATTAAATCTTTCCAACCTTAACTGTTATGTTAAAAAGGTATAGTGAGAAATTCTAATGCATACTATTAAAAATTTAGTTGATAGTATATCACAGTAAATTTAAGCTGTGATTGCGGCAAAAGAAGGCTCATTCAAGTATTAAAGTTTAATATGAAATGTATGCTTTAACTAGTTTCTAAATAAAATAATATTAGAATTTTTACTATTAATGCTAAAGAATTATAAGTTTTTTATTTGGTAAAAAAGTGTTTAGAAACTTTTATTTACTCTCTATATATAATATTATATATTTTTAAATAAATATAATTAAATATTTTAAATATATTTAAAATTAATTAAAATTTAAATTATTTATTTAAACTTAATTTTTTTTATTTTAATTTTTTTATATTATTTTACTGTTATTTTAACAATTTGATAATTAAGTTTTTTATAAATATTTATTAACTTGAAAAATTATATGCAAAATGTATGTTTTTATATATTTATTATTAAAAATGATATTTTTATATATTAAAATTTTTTAATAATATTATTATTTATTAACCTTTATAATATTTATTTATTAATTATTTTATATTATCATTTCAGTAATATTTTTATTAATTATTTTATATTATTATTTTAATAAATACTTCAATTAGTAAATTTGATAAAAAATAATTATTAATTATTTATAAAAAAACTTTTTTTAATTTAATTATTAATTAATTATTAAATTAAAATTATATTTTATTTAATAAAAATAAATTTATATATATTATTTAATACATTATTTGCTAAATAAATTAGTAGTTTACAAATTGCAATTTGCTATTTTATTTTTAAACTTTTTCTTTAATTTGATTATATAATTCTATATTAAAATCAGATGATCTTTTCAGAACTATTTACTATACTTGTTTTTTTTATTGCGTATTTTTACTAACATCTATAATAGTATTATTTGTATTTCTAGTTTTAGATAACTCTAATTATCAATTTCTTTCTCAAAATAAGAAAATTAATTGTTGAAAAACTAAAACTATCCTGCTGCAGCCAATAATATTTGATATTTTTACTTACATTATAAACAAATTAAAATGATTTTATTGGTTCCACTAATAGTTGTTATATGTAACATGTTGTTACAATTAGATTCATCCTTAATTGTTTATATTAGGTAATTAGTATTATTTTGACAGTTGTGATATAAAATTGCAAAATTACAATAATAGAAAAGATAGATGAATTTCTATATTTATTCACTTTTTTTATTTATTATACAAAATTTTTATTATATATTTATCATATGAAATATTTCATTATATTTTGAATTTCACTATATAGTTAAATTGTTAAATTTCACTTTTATATGCAAAATATGATTTTTAGGAATATGTTCAGATTTAGCATTAAATCAATTTTTATTTTTTCCAGCCGTTTCCCCCTTTTCTATTGCAAAGGTCCCATATATTTTGAATTTCGTAATTCACTAAAACTAATTATGAATTTTATATAACATGTTTTTTATTTTAGGTTTTGAATATTTTTTTTTTTCTGCGACCTTGATGACTTAATTCTGCGGCGATGCTTGTTAATAGCTACTTCGCCAAGTGAACTTAAAAAAACTGGCGGTCTAACAATTGCAGTTTGCAATACTATACATGTAAATCCACGATTTCATTAAATTATATACTGTATATTCATTTCCATACAAATTACAATAGAGATTCTACATTTCTATAATAACAGTAATAATTCAATCAAACAGCAATAATAATAACCTTGACCTTTTTAAAATTACTGCGGAATGATAGCATTTGAAATATTTTGTATTTGCGTTTAATTGGTAATACAATAAAATAAAAAAATTTTTTTAAATTAAAATATGATACAGTTATTCTATATATACAAATATATTTTTTTAAAGTTAACAATAAAAAAAGATACAAATATACACTTTTTTCAAAATATTCTATATTTTTTTCCTTTCAATTTGTTATTTAGGCGCACGATACGTCGGATAGCTATATCATAATATATGAGGATTCTGCATTCAAAGGAAAAGCTTTTAACTTTAATTAAGACAATCTAATCTAAAAATTAGATTTACTGTACATAAATTTGCTAACGTACTTTCTCCCCTATTGGTGTACTGTATATGCCCGTTCTCCCCTTTCAACGATCCATTGGTGTACTGTATGTATCCGTGAAACAAACAAACAAAAACAAATTTTTTATATGTCATACTACGAACGTTACGGCGTTATAGTTGTTTTTTATTTATTATTTTTTATTATTTCTTGTAGGCCTTTCAGCAAAAAAAAAATTTTTTTTTTTACACAAAACAAAATGATTTTCGTTACTACATGAACAAAATATTCTTTCAACCATATGTTTTCTTTATATCATCTTATTCTATAATTTTTTTTTTATAACGTTAACCAATAAAACAAATTACATCGTTTACATAATACAAATAAAATTTTTTTAAATATTAAAAGCTAAATGAACGCGATATACCTATATTGGATAACTTCAATGATAATCTTGCAAAGGCTATTGAAAATTCATTCAGGAGTATGTGTCCTTCACTGAATTATTGAAGTGGAACGGCGAGTCCGGTAGGTATGTATTATTTGCAAATAATAAATAGTAATCATTCATCATCGATTCGTTTAATTATTATGTTAAAACGCTTACCCTTTATATTTATAATATTTGTTAAGATAGAAAATTGTAAAATAATACTTGTTTATCTATCGGCTGATTTGTTAAATCACTTTTTGTTCACTGACGAGAAACTTACATGTCATGATTTTTACACTTTACAAAAGGGCCCTCATTAATAATTAATAAAGTTTCTAATTCAAGTATTAAAGAATTTAAATCTCAATGTATTGTTTTCATTACATAGAATGATTGCATTTGTTTTCCAAAGTACCCGTTAATATCTTCCCCTTCCATTAGGTTCGTTGTTAAATTTGTTAAATTTCAATTTGCTCGATAACGACAGATGGATTAACACTTTTTTATATTTCTTACTTTTAAATTTAATCACTTAATTTTTACCCAGAGAAAAGGAAAGGGAAAAATTTTTTCACTATCATTTTGTATATCAACATTCTCAGTAAAAAAAATTCAAATGCCGGAATGTTCTTTTGAAAGGTCCCAAAATTCTTTGTTTAGATCTGCACTCGTCAAATTTTGAAATACAACTAAAAAAAAAATTAGTTTATGATTTATTTGACGTTCGGATTAAAACAATCGTTTTTGGTTTAGTTTTGTTAGACCGGTTATTACCAAATATTTCAGCCAGACATAACTATTTTAGTTAAGTTGTTATGCACGATGAAAGCCGATTTACTTAAGTGCGTTTTGATCTAATGCATTGGTAAACACATCACTATAAAATAATACAAATAGTGAACACAATATTATTAATAATTATATTATTATTAAATATTTGTTACATTGTACCTCGCTTAAAAAAAAAACATTTTCAAATTTTGATTGCTTTTTTGTTGACAAATAATAATGAAGGACTTGATTGAATGATGGAAGATGTGCGTGAAGCCTCAAATAAATAAATTCAGTGAGAATGACTTTTTTGGCTTAAACCTGCATCGTTTTCAGAAAATTAGAAAAACTTCTTATTACAGTGTAAAAAAAATTTGTTTCTAATTATAGATCAAGTTTAATATTATATATATGTGATGTTTTGACTCAAATTCTCTCATCAAATTTTTTTATTCCTTTTCACAACTCTTGGTCTTTCTAAAAAGAAAAAAAATTATTTCGCGATTCTCTTTTGGTTTACGTTTTTTTTCGCCCTATTTTCGCTCCCTTCATTTAGAAAAAAAAAAATCTTTTTTTTGTCGCGTTAAATAATATTTTTTTTCATTAGACAAAAAAAAAATCGACTCTTCATTCATTAAAATAGAAAGTATCTCTGAACACCTTCCATTCGTAAAAAATATATATATATTATTAATTTAACAAATCAATAAATTACACGTTATTCAATATGGAACATAATAAACCCTCACAAAATAACAATGATAATGGTTATCCATCAAATATAAATTGCAACTATAATCCACCCATGATGAACAATAATAGTTCAATGTATTACGGAGATGCTAATTCGCATCGACAACAATCTATGGCCGACTCTAATGCTTCAGCTCAACTGTACCCTTCACATACTGGTCATGCTAATGCCAATCCACCGCTATCCGCAAACTATATTCCTAACCCTAACCCTCTCCAACCAAGTCATAACATCTTTAGTTTTGACATTCCTGGCTTTAAGATTATTATCATACCTGTAGACAATTCTAATTCAAATTTTGCTAATAATAGCTTTCAAACTCAATATCAACAATCATTTAATAATTTTAATAATTTTAGTGGCTAGGAGTTCATTTATTTCTAGTTATAAAAGTATCTTTTATTTTATGTTATATTTTAACGTTGTTCGTACAAAGTTGATCTTTTTATATCTTACCTCCTTTATTTTAAAAAAAAAAAATTATGTTCCAAGTTCACTAAAGTATTAATTAGAAATTATATATTGTATGAATAATCGGAACATTTCGACTCGCTTCGGTAGTAATTCATTAATTACTATTTTTTTTTAAATAAATGAATGAATAAATAAATCTTATCCATTAGTTGCTATACAAATTCTACGGAGAATGTCGATGTAACAATTTGTATTATTTTTACAATTACCTATATATAAAGAGAATTACACCAGGTTGAAAAGAAGGATGCTGGAGTATCTGGATCGTTTGCAATTAAAATAAAATCGAGTTATGAGACAAAATGATATTTAATAGCAATTCTCCCATTGGAATAGCCTTACAAGATAATCTAAAATGAAATCATATGTTTCGTATGCCTCGTTACTTGAATATAATTCGACGAAATTAGTCTCGTGTTATTTGTACCTCTGTAAAGGTTGGGAAACCTGTAATTACAAGATAAATTGACATTGTACTCTTTTATTAACCTTGTAATTTCCAATCTGCTCCCTTAAAAAGAATATTTAATAGTAATAATGTAGATAATAAAATTTTATCATATCATAAAAACTTCTTTAGGTAGAACTATCTACCGTGGCTCACAAATGAAATGGAAACAGACGTTCAAACTTTTATAAAATTAGAATATCTTTGCTTTAGATGATTAAACAAAAATAAAAATAGTTTTGTTTAAATCACCGGGACTTTGGTAATTATTTTCGTTGATTTTATTGTAAATTGTTTTTTTGTTAATTAGATATTAATCACTTTAACCCTTTTCATGTTCTATTTCTTTGGATCGATCTTGAGGCAAAAGGCTTTGTGATCTTTAGTAAGTAATTATTTAATTATTTTTAATTTTTTTTATACATAATAATGTTGCCACGGTAAATATGATCATTGAAGTGTTTTTATTTTTCAATGCCTTATACTGTGTATCGCAAGAAAAACGCTCTTGTATATGTACCCTTTATAAAGAGTGTTATTCAACTAAAACTACTGCTAAAATGGAAATTGTTAGTCATCATCAGTTTTACGAATATATCGAAAAAGAAACAACTGGAAATGTTAATGATAAACCCAAATCTGGTCATCCGCGTATCGTTTATAGACATTAAGAAAGTAGAATTGTCAGACTGATTACATCTGGCAAATGCTCAACAGCTGTAAAAGTGCATTCACAGGCGATCTAATAAATATTTCAGTTGAGACTATGGGCTAGTTGCATGAATAAAGCAAAAGAAACCCTTGCTTAAAAAACTCATAAAAATTCGATTATCATGAGCAAAATGATATCGCAAATGGACAAGTAATGATTGGAGAAAGGTGATGTGGTCAGATGAGTCAAAGTTTCTTTTATTTGACTCTGACATAAGACAATATGTTGAAGAAACTTTAAATGATCGAGATGTATTACTAACGGTCAAATTTGGTAGTTGTGAAATAATGGTCTGGAGTTGTATGACGACCAAGGGTATTGGTAATTTGGTAATCTGATTAGGATCGAAGGGAAGGAAATATGAATGGCGAGCTATATAGACAATTAATGAAAGGTAGCCTTTTACCTTCACTTTTGCGACTTGACCTAGATAAAAATAATATTATTTATCAACAGAAATTGATCCTAAACACACCGCAGAATGGTTTTAGAATCGGTTTATTACTTGATTGGCCATCTCAATCTCTGATTTGAATTTTATTGAATACATTTGGAATGAGGTTGATAGACGTCTACGTAATCTTAAAATTTCATCTTCAAATAAAAATAATTTGTGAGAGAATTTAAAGATCGTGTGAAATTGTATTATTGTAATCAACTAATTAATTCTATGACTGAAAGAATAAATGATGTAATAAAGGCACAAGGTGGATGTAGACTTATGATGTGTCAAGGTTTACAACTTTTAAATTTTCTCATCTTGAATAATTTAATGCGTAGTAGCGTATCCAAAAATGGTTAAAAGAAATGGAACGCTAATCAAAAATAAACTTTAATATTTTACTTAGTTATTAAATTAAATAAATAAAATATTATTACCCGAATATTGGAAAATCAAATGAAGTTATTTTTATCTTTGTACGACCCTTTGGGAAAAAAATATTCATATTTCAAAAAATTTGATCGTCCGTTCCATTACTTTTGTGAGCCAAGGTAACAAAAACTCAATTTTGAAAGAAAAAAGGGTAAAATAGCGACGTTCAATTTCCAAATCAGGCTGTCGATTAGTGTTAGTAAAAGAATGGTCCTATATAAAAAATTTTTTTTCCAAAATAGGATAGGTTATTCTAGAATAGATGTGTTTATTTATTAAAATAAAAAAAATTTTTTTAATTTCTTATAAACCCCCCTAAAAAAATAAAAATAAAAAGGAAACAAGCCAACGTAAACTGTAAATCATAATATATATATATATATATTATTGTAGAGTAGTTTATTTATAAGTACTTCAAAAAAAAAAAAAATTTTTGATTACCGTTTAATTCATTTTATATTTCCGACATACGATTTTGAATTCTTCATGAAAAAGATTTCTCTTTTACATAAGTGTTATTAAATAGGCATCAGAGGCTGCTCATGACAAACGGATTCTCGAGTTGTCATATAACAATTCAACAAATGTATATTTTTAATTTTATTTTTTCTTTTACATTAATTATTGAAACAAAGAAAAAAAAAAACAAAAATTTTGTTTGCGACCAAGTTAAAAAAAATTATTTTTTTGGTATCCTTTAACTCGGTCGTGTCGGTAATTTGGTTTTATAAAATAAATATATATATAAGCTTTCATCCGATTCCTTACGTGTACTTAAAAAAAATAATTTTTTTTTCTTTTTTTTTTAATTTATAAATTTATTAATTACAAATAAAATTATTATTCAAGATGGCTCTTAAAAATTGTTTATAATAATCCTTCACAAAATAACAATAATAGCTATTTTGCACCCATAACTGATATTCGTCCATCGATTATTAATTACGGTTACACAAATAGTCATCAAAATAATAGTTCCGAAGTTGCTAATACGCATCGTCAACCATCTTATCCAAGGCTGGCCTAGCCGCGTCAGCCGCAGTATTGCATAAGGAAAAAGAAATAAGTTTCGATAAATTTATTATTCCAACTTAGGGATGTTAATCGGTCTTTAACCGGTCCATATGATTTAAGAGATTAGTAACTCTAGAAGAAGTCTAATCACTCATCTATAATAAGTAACCCATCAAAAAAAATGTCATGAATATTTTATAATTAATTTGTAAAAAGTAAAAGTAAAAATAATATTCAAAATTGGCAAATTTTATGGGATCCTAAAATTTTAAACTTTAAGAAATTCTTGGATTCCAAGAGGATTTATTATTTATTTTCAATAAGTAGCTCATTAAAACATTATAAAGATAAGTTTCATGAGAAATTTATAAAATAATTCTTTATAATTTTCTTGGGACCGCTTAACATCCCTACCCCAACTTAATAATTCCATGAAAATTTTCCTTTTTAAAAAATATTCAGGGTATCTTATTAGTAGAAAAGCGATTAGACTTAGAAATTTCTAAAATCATTTGGGACTATATACACCAATTTTAAGAACCACGAAAAAAGGTAAATTTGTTTGCTTTTTGTGATAATAAAATTTTATTTTAGGCGAATTATACTTTGTATATGATTCTTTCATTCAATTTTTTTTCGTCGATCACGAATTTTATCATCGTTATGGGTTTCTTATTCTACACTCGAAATAAAAAAAGTTTGTTTAAAAAATAAACACAATATTAAATTTATTAGATATTACATCAATTATCACGACATCCTTATAATCTGGGATCACGTATAAATGATAAAAGTAGTACGATCCATTTAAAACTTGCTTTTATTAGCGAGTAATTTTTTCTCAAAATAGAATTTATTAAAGCAATTCGATTTATTAACAAGCATTACTATTTTATTTTTAAAAAGATTTTTTATTGATAACTAAACCTACCATACTAAAGTGAGTAAGCAGCACATTCATCAAAATTATCAATCACTTGAAATTGTCTAATAGGAAATATAATATATCGAAAATAAATCACTTGACTGAATATATTTAGAAGTTTGCCATTTCGGATTATATGACTCGTAACTTGATTTTATAGAATTATTCATTTGGGTAGTTCAAATCAATTCAACCTTTACAGTACGTCTTGTATATAATCCACCTTTAAACTCAAATCTGGGTAAGTAGAGCAAATACCTTTCCAGGAGAAATTGTTTTCCCGCTTTATTTTTTATTATTGAAATCAAACAAATCCCGCTCTTCATTTCCCAGTTAACGTAACCTTGGAATAGAAACAATAAGAAATGACACAATTGTTCTGATTCGAATGATAACATCTTATTAAATTGATGAGAATATATAAAGAATTCATAATTTTATTACCATATATACATTCAAATACAAATCATTTTTCGCTCTTACAAACATATACTTTAAAAATAACTTAAAGCCATATATATACATGTATATCATAATTAATTTAAAATAAAGGAAGGTACTTATGAAGATTAATTCAAAAAAGCAAGCATTCAATTTGAAATTTATATATAATGATTTTAAAGTTCATAATTTACGATAGAAATTGTCAACAGAGATTATCAAAGTAAAGAAATTAAGGAATGCGATATAAAGTTGAATTCTTACACATTTAAAAAAAAAAAAATCTTTTTTTTTTTAATTTCAAAATAATGAAGCCCCATTAAAAAATTCATTAATGAGCAAATCGCGTGAGAATTGTGTAGAGAGGTTAGCGATTCGATTCAACGTGTCTTCGTTGGTTCGAACGCGTGTTCGATATATATTATTAGCATTTACATTTCGTTGCCTTCTATGTCTTCTTCTTTGATTAATTCGTCTT